TCAAAAGGTGTTTGGGCAGCAGCAACAACCAAATCCTCTCCGATTTTCTCCAGGTGTGAGAACTGGCGAAACGGGCAGATCAGCGCCCTGTTTCTTCTATGTACCTGGTCTGCTTTTGCGAGTAAATTAGATCTCAAATATTCGGCAGATATTTGAACAGCAGCAGGCAGCGAAGTCAAACCCTGGTTCTCTCCGTGTATAGGGTCTTGTGAAACGGGGAGATCAGCACCTGATCTCTACCATGTACCAGGGTCGTTGTAGCGGTCAGATTGGCGTCGAATCTGTGGATCGAGCCCAGGTGTCAACGATAACAGGCAACTTACCTGTCAGATTTTTTTTGTTTTTTTTTTATGAACAGCTTGATAGAAGAAACTTAACAGTGAAGAGGGAGGCTTTAGCGATCGAGCATCACCAACATTCAGACAATGTTTCTCCGCTTTTAGGCTAAGCCACCCTTGCTCAGACGCCGCCTGTGAAACCGCATGGTGAAGATGTGAGTCGGGTTGTGCTGCTAGTGATTCAGAACTTCCAAGTATCCGTTCTCTCTTCCTTTCCTCTTCCAGGCAAGCCTCTTCTTCTCTTCCAAGCTTCTCCGTTCCCACTAGCTTTCCTCTCGGAGCATCCCAAGTGTTGAGGACGCCTGACACACCCCGTGCCTCCCCCGTTCCCAGCGCGTTTACCCTGCCTGTATCTAAAGTGGATTAGGGTTGGGTACGCCTTGCATGCCTCCTGCTGGCTCCCTCGTCTCCATGTCCCCCCGACTGCCAACTGGTCCTCCCGATATGGGGAATGCTGCACTGGGCATGGGCCTCTGCCGACCAGAGGCCCCGAAGAGAACACGTACACAGTCCAATATCGTGTGAATTACAATGGTACCAGCGCGCCCGCGGAAAAACAGCGGTACCAACCCGAAAAACAGCAACAGTTCCAGCAAGTGTCATTAGGCCCACCCCGCTGTTCCCGCGTCAAACCAGAGAGTACTCAGTCCAACCACGACCACTTCTGACTTGAGATAGCCAGGGGCATTAAAACTTGGTAGCGTCGTCAAGAGCCCGAGGCTCGTTACCAAACCAGAGGCCCGACATGATTTTGATTAATATTGCCTGCGGTGCCAGTTCCGTATCATTGACCGAACCTGTACCGAACCAGACTGTCGCGCCCAAGCCGAACCAACGGATGATTCCCAGGCGTGTGCCACACTGATGTCGGCGCAATACCGTGCATGAAATGTGTCAAATACCATAGAATGTCTGAATCCCGTAATAGTATCGAACCTCCCAATCCACATGTTCAAACTCAAGCGGGGATTGCATCGACGGAAAAAAGGTCGCGGGGTACAATTAAACAACATAGCGGTAACGCCCCACATCTGTCTACCCCGCACTTATAGCACACTGGTTACGGTAAAGTCGGAAATCAGGGAAATTTAGGCAGGCCATGCGTACAAATCCCAATCATCACAGTATAGCGGAAATCATCAGAATTAGAATAAATGATTAATCCGGGGGTAATTCCGATCGCGGATAATTGGAGCCAAACTACGCCAGTCAGTTAACAATCTTGATTTTTCTTCCATCTTTTCATATTTAATTGCTTCTCCTACTTCTTGATTTATTTATCAAAAATATC